TGGAGAAAAGTGTCAGGAGTGATCTGTGACAGAAGAGTGTCAGCTAAGGTGAAGGGAAAGGTTTACAGGACGGTGGTGAGAACCAGCCATGATGTATGGTTTAGAGACAGTAGCAATAGGCAGAAGACAGGACTGTGGGGTCATTTTGACCTGAAGACAATATTTGTACCGTTTTATTTAATTTTTTTTTGTACAGCTTACATGGAAATATGAATAAAGGCAACAGTTTACTTTTTCTAATGTTGGGGTAAATCTAGGAAAAGTCATCAAATTTCAAGTTGAAAAATATCATTTAGGGGATTTTTGTTTTGGTTTTTAACACAGTGGCGGGTCATTTTGACCCGAGGACAACAGGAGGGTTAAGGCAGTTCTGTATTTGAATTCCAATTTACAGCCTAACCACACAGCTAAAATAACGAAGGAGTGGCTTCGGAACAACTCTGTGGCCATTCTTGACTGGCCCAGCCAGAGCCCTGACCTAAACCCAATTGAGCATCTCTGGAGAGACCTGAAAATGGCTGTCCACCAACATTCACCATCCAACCTGACGGAACTGGAGAGGATCTGCAAGGAAGAATGGCAGAGGATCCCCAAATCCAGGTGTGAAAAACTCAAAAGGGTGCTACTCAATACTGAGCAAAGGGTCTGAATACTTATGACCATGTGATATTTCAGTTTTTCTTTTTTAATACATTTGCAAACATTTCTACATTTCAGTTTTTTCTGTCAAGATGGGGTGCTGAGTGTACATTAATGAGAAATAAAATGAACTTTTTTGATCTTAGCAAATGGCTGCAATGAAACAAAGAGTGACAAATTTAAAGGGGTCTGAATACTTTCCGTACCCACTGTATATGTAAATATGTGTATATATAAACATATATGAATAAATATATATAAATATATGTATTATGGCATGCCATTCAGGAAATTAATCTTTGAATATATATACAAAAAGTCTGAATATATATGAACAAATCCTGAATATATATACAAAAATCCTGGCGGGTTGTGCAGGCCAGGTCAGTGAGAGCGGTCTGCGGTCAGTGTGACCACAGCGGAGGTGAGGAGGACCCTCCAAAGGATCAACCCACGTAAAGCTGCTGGTCCCGACAACATCCCTGGGCGGCTGCTAAGGGGCTGCGCACACCTGCTGACGGAGGTATTGACAGAGATCTTCAATACCTCCCTCCAACAGACGACAGTCCCCACCTGTTTGAAGGCCTGAATGACTATCGGCCGGTAGCCCTCACCCCAATAGTCATGAAGTGCTTCGAAAGACTGGTTATGGCCCGCATCAAGGACTCCATCAATGTCACTGAGGACCTACACCAGTATGCATACAGGAACAACAGATCCTCAGAGGACGCCATCTCCTCTGTAGTTCACACAACCCTCACCCACTTAGAGGAGAAGGAGCTCCACCATCTGCAACTGGGTACTGGACTTTCTGTCAGATAGGCCGCAATCTGTGAGGATCCATGGCGTCTCCTCCGTCATGCTCAGCACCGGCACCCCCCAGGGCTGCGTGCTGAGCCCCCTCCTATTCACCCTGCTCACACACGACTGCTCAGCACTACATCCGAGCTGTCTGATTGTGAAGTTCGCGGATGATACAGCCGTGGTCGGACGCATCACAGCCAACGATGAGTCCAACTACAGGCAGGAGGTAGAACATCTGGAGGGTTGGTGTAGAGAAAACCTCTGCATCAATGCGAAGAAGACCAAGGAGATGATCATTGACTTCAGAAGGGGGAGACACCCCCCCTCCCCTGCACATTGGAGGGACAGCAGTGGAAGTGATCTCCAGCTTCAGGTACCTGGGAGTACACATCTCCGATGACCTCACCTGGAGAACCAACACTTCCTGCCTGATCAGGAAAGCGCACCAACGCCTCTACTTCCTGAGGAGACTGAGGCGTGCTGGACTGGGGAGCTCAGTCCTAACCTCTTTCTACAGATGTGTGGTGGAGGGTGAGGAACAGCTTCCTCCCTGAAGCTGTGAGACTGTTGAACTCCGGTGGACCCCTGTAACCCCTGTCCCCCCCACATTGACTCTGCCAAATACCCCCTCCCCCCACAACAGAAAATATGTGGGCCTGCTCAAGACCTCACAACTATTGTCCTCACATTCGTCGCTCTTGTTGCCCTGACCAGGGCTGTTGTTCTTGTTCTTGTCGTTGTTCTTGTCTTTCACTCATGCACAATCACCACTTTATCTTTCTCTCTTGCACTATGCTGAACTATTCCCCTCTGTCACTTGTACTCGAGCCGGGACCGGGGAAACTAATTTCGTTCATCCCATGTCTAACGTGTTGCAATGACAATAAAGAACCTTGAGTCCTATATTTTGAATTGGGTCGTTTTGTGTGAGGTCTGATTGAAGGTTTTATTTAAAATTTCTATAGCATGTAGAGGGTCATTTTGTGGTGAGAGCTCTGGTGGAGGGGTCTGATTTAAATTTTGCTAAATATTATTTAATTGATTTATAGCTAATTGAATTTCTGTTTTAAACATGTCATTAAAGTCTCCTGGCGATGGTTGACCTAACTCTGAGCCCTGCTTCCTCGCAGGAGCTCTCGGGGGAATGGGTGGGGCTCCGGCTGGACTATCTGCGAGAACCGCTGCCGAAAGTGGGGATGTAGCTCTCACACTTGACACTTGACCAATCAAAGTGTCAACCCCCTTAGGTTCGGCTGGGACACTTGCGGGTGTTGACGTCAGTGGTCCTATATATAATGAAATAAAATGTTAATGTCTGATTTTAAAAAAGTACATTTAATTTAATTAATTGATTAATTAATTGCATTTTTACAAAAGATTTAATTTAATTAATTCTGTAGCAAGAAACAGACGAACAAAAAAAAATAAAATAAATGCATTTGTCTATGACAGAGGTACAGGAAGTAGTGATGGGAAGAACGACTCTTTTTACTGATTCGGATCTTTGACTCTCGAACAGTAAAATGAACAAGTCGTGAAGGAATCTTGAATGAATAATTTCATTCGTTTTACAGCAGGTGGCGCTTTAGCCTTATTGTGGGCGTTGTAAAGGCGGCTGGGGTTCTCCGGCACTAAATACTGAAGGCAACATGGTTTGCTTCTGCTGACAAAGTCTAAAAAGTACACAAAATACCATAAGCAATTAAACCATGTGAAAACAGAAAAACAGCACAATGTGAAGATGAATGAGAGCAAAAGAGACCCGAGCTCTCTGTCACGTGACAAATGAATCGAATCTGCGAGAACGAAAGATTAGTTCACAGAGAGTGATTCGTTCACGGCAAAAGATTAGTTCACAGCGAAAAATTAGTTCACAGTGAATAATTCGTTCACAGCGAAAGATTAGTTCACGGCGAAAGGAGGGAAAAGCTCGACAACGCCACCCTGGGAATTTCACCCAGGGAATTGCTCAAACACAAGGCACAAAGGTTCGTGGTTACTGGAGGGCAAGAGACGCAGTTCAAGTTTGAAAATACAAATTTTATTCAACATTTGTTTTTAAAAAGTATACTCCATAAAACTCATTCACACAAATAAAAGAGAAACCTAATCATGGCTGAGGCCGAAGTGGATGGGCAAGGGCTAGTGCAGGGGCAGGATCCACCAAAATAAGGCAAAAATAACTTTAACTAAATCACAAGGCACACGTGGCAGACACACCCTCAGTGAAGAAACCCACTCCCAGGGGACACAGCAAGATACGACAGGAGGACACCACCACCAGGTCACCAGCACCGCCACCACCAGCCTACAGCAACTGAAGAGGAAAAAAGAATAGCACATTAGTAGACGACCACAGCAGCACACAAAAAGCAGGGCGGAGGCCGAAGTGGATGGGCAAGGGCTAGTGCAGGGGCAGGATCCACCAAAATAAGGCAAAAATAACTTTAACTAAATCACAAGGCACACGTGGCAGACACACCCTCAGTGAAGAAACCCACTCCCAGGGGACACAGCAAGATACGACAGGAGGACACCACCACCAGGTCACCAGCACCGCCACCACCGGCCTACAGCAACTGAAGAGGAAAAAGAATAACACATTAGTGGGGTTGCACACACACAAAAAAGAAAGTACCCAAAACTTAACAAAACTATAAATAAATGAGCAAACTCCAGGCTTAAGCAAAATGATAACTGCCCAAAACAAAACTCAAACAATTTACAAAACAACTCTGTATTAACAAAATAGAATTACATAAACAAAATCCAGGGTCAACCTAGACACACTATCACAATCACACGTTCACACACTGATCCACTCAGCATAAGGGGGGATCAGTCCCCAGTAAAAAATAAAAATAAAAAAGTGCTTATGCCCGGACCTTGGTGTACGGCCGAACAATCGTCCTGCACAGTGTGCATCTTGGAAGCCGTGAAGCTGCCGACGGCCGCAAAGGAACACCGTAGGCAGCAACAGATAAACGGCAATACAGTGAAAGCAGCACAAAATAACACCAAACAAAGCAGCAGCGGCCCAATGAGGTGGTTACAACACCT